TTTTTCACGCTGCGACATACGGGCGAAAGGGTGAGAGGGTCCCCAAATCATTACAGGGGTAGATAGCGCCCCTTGTAACACCCTAAACCCCTACATGCGATTTTTATAACATAATACTAGAATAAGAACTCAAAAAGGGCGTCACATTTTCACAAAATAACATATTTCTCGAAATATAATCGCAGCGAAATTAAACAATTAAAAACATCTTCAATCATATCATGAAATAGTACTCAACTTTATTAAAATCGCAAGTCAAATAAAATCAACAACTAGCATAAAACATCATCAAATAATTCCAACCCAAGTGTCACACTATCAGAGCGACTCACAAAAATTAAACAACACAAAAACAATAAACGAAGAAGGCCAACTACACCATCCTCCAAAATAAGCAACATCTAATGCTCATCGGGCTCTACCTAAGTATCTGCATCATGGGAATAATTACAACACATGAAACAAACAAGGGGTAAGAATACATTCACATATGTCAGTGGTGCATAAAATAACAAGCATAGAATAATTAGGACAACTAAGCAATTAGACAATACATTCACAATAACAATAATTCACAAATGCAATTCATGTATGCAATGTACTCATCTCCTCTACTCCAATGCATGTGGTACCAAAACTTGGATATTTAGAGGTATGTTACTAAAAGAACCAACATCGCAAGGTTAAGTCCACCAGTGTAGGAATATCATCACAAAGGTCAAGTCCATCACCGTATGATTGTCATAGCAACGCTAGGTCCATCGCTGTAGGACCATCATCACAAGGCCAAGTCCATCACCGTAGGGCTCTCATTGCAACCTAAACTCTGATATACATGACATACACAAAAACAAATGTAATAATGTTCTCAACCTTCATCTTTAATACTCATCGCTGATTCCTCTCTTAAGTCTTAACCTACAACTCAACATGAAAATCGCTAATACAAGGCCACAACAATGGTTCCTCTCTGAACCAAACATCTAAACATCAACAATTTCCTCCTCGTGAGGAATTCATAATAAATTCAACATAATATTAAAAATCATATATTGATCAACAAACATTGGATTTGTATCTTAAAGCATTAACAACTTAATCCATATACCATCTTATTAAGGCAACCCCAAACCATGTTTCCTGCTAATCATGCCTCAGATTCGAATAATTACTTAAAATATCAAACGAAGTTGGAATTAAGCATATTAATATGTTATGGAAAACTTAGAATGTCTATTTTAAGAATCAAAGTTTTATTTTAGGACTTAATACCCCTACCGGTTCAGTTTAATCAAATGATAAGAACTGGTATTGGCATCGAGCAAAATGTTTCGACTGACTTCAAAAAAGCACAAAATATTATAGACTTATGATAAAATTATGAAACTCTACAGTCTAAAATATCTTGAACTCTCTTTTAAACGCAATAAAAAAAATCAAAATTTTTTATAATCATTATGTTATGTTTTGTACATTGAGTAAAATACACAAATAGAAATTGGTTATCTTGAAGAATTTATGAAGATAAGATGAAAACACCTTACGAACAATGTTATAAGTTATTTTCATAAGTTATCTTAAACAAATAATCTAACAAAACTTATGTTAATAGACAAGTTAAAATAAGTCAATGTAACAAACTTTTTGTCTTGTTGGTTTTTTAGTTTATTAGTCTATTTAAAATAACATACTTTTATGTAGGCTAACTGGCTAAACCAGGCATTAGAAAAGGTCAAACTCAGGCCTAAGAAAAAGCCTATGATAAACTACAGACCAAACTTAGGCTTCAGTTTTCTTGGTAGGCCAGACTTAGGATTGACAAAGCCTAACTCGACCCAACCTATTTCTACCCCTAATCGACAGGTATCCTAACATTAAAAGGCCTAACATCATTTGTATGCTCAACATGTGAGATGATGCGATGGTGTGATACAGTAAGGTACCACTCTAAGTAATCATCCTCACATTGCAATTCGTGTTGAACTCTCATTGTAGTATCTCTAATGGCACAACCTGAGCTAATGATGTTACTCTGAAATAACCTGTCAATGCCCGTAGATGGCATATCCAAAACTGGTCGTGGACTGCCCTGAACATAATCATATTGTCGCAGACACCTCTCAGGCAAATATCTAGCGACTAAAGTCTCCCACCACATATAACCAAGATATTAAAAAGAGTTATCAAACTCATGGTGGGATCTATGATCAATGTATGGTATCCAAATGACATCATTTACAATCAGTGCAACTAGCCTCCTTCGGTACTCTGCAACACCAACATGATGTGGCCGCCTGACCTTCCATCTCTTTTCCTACGGGCCCCCAACTAAGGAATGTTGCACCCTCATATCACAGATGGCGGGGAAATGCTCGTATATCTAACACTTATATCAAAACACATACACAACAAATAATAATTAAAAAATGTTATTCGTAATAATTAAATAAGAACTCAATAACAAATAATAATTTCAAGTATACCTGTAATAGAATCAAATAACCAACAAGTTGTCTGGTCTCAAAGATTGTCGCCACTCTAAGTGTTGTATACAAGATGGTCAATGCAACGTACCCCCAAGCCCAATTGGTAACGTCAAGGCTGCTGAACAACCACATGTACTGGGCGTCGATATAAATACCTGACTTGTCTGTAAAGAGAGTACATGCTACTAGATATAACATGTACACCCTAGAGGCAAGCTCATACATCTGTGCCACAACAAGCTCCTCATACCTATCAAGCCAAGACATATGAAGGTGGTCTCCTTTATTAAAGTCAAACTCCTCCAGCATAACCTCCTCAGAAACTCCTACATCTCGTACAATAGTCAAACTGCAATCGACGTGATAATAACAAGAGCCGTGAAGAATCTGCCTGTGATAGGGAGATAGAACAATAAGAAGACATCATCCAGAGTGATAGTCATCTCCCCAAAGGAAAGATGAAATGAAGATGTTTCCTTGTAATACGCTTAATAAAAGCAGTAAGAAGTGGAGCATCGAGCATGGTAAAGGAGCAATAGGCAAATGCGAAGAGCTCAAATTTATGTACAATACACCTGACTTGCTCATGCACCGGAGTCTTGGGAAATTTCTTCATCTTTGACTCGTGTGATGTCACATTCAGTGGGAGACGGTCTTGTAACAAACAAATTTTAAAAAAATTAGCAGTTAGCTTTCATGGAACAATAATAAATAAATTAAAGTTAAACATTAGATATATATACGTCTCCCTGCCATAGTCGGTATGCCACTTTGTCAGCACACCCGATAAGCACCGACCAGTTAATGGGTCCTCCCGAGAATATTATATTAGTGTGCACAGATGGCTCCCTAAAAGGAGCTGTAACCTCTGTGTCAGCAGTAGCATATGCAACCGCATTTGTGGTAGCCACCTCATCAGCAACAACGACATATGACTGGACCACATCATTTACAACAAAGGCATTTGGCTGGACCACCTCATCTGTCACCTCATCAACAACCACCTGAGCATGAACAACGTTTGCTTACAGGGTGCTCTTAACTGCTCCTGCTCAGCCAACCGTTTTCGATGTGAACCGGTTGGAACCACTTGTCCATCCTGTATTTGGGAAGACTCAGCCTCATCAGCCCTAGTCTGAGCTTCCGCTCTATCTGTTGCTCTGCCTATAATATTGTTGTATCTTCCCCTGTATTTCATTGCAAAAACCGGAAAAAAAAATCAGATATGTTTCAAAAATTTTGAAATTTCCCCGAAAATTCTGGATTTTTTTTAACTATTGAAAGTTTTGAAATTTCTAGGGAAATGCATAGCAATTACATCGGAAATTCTGAAATTTCCGATCAAATATATCGAAAATTCTAAAATTCACGGTAAAAATTCTCGAAAATTTGCAATTTCCAATAAAAAACATAATGATTTTGAAATTTCTGGGAGTAAATACAAATTTTCGGTATCGCCCAGAAAATTTAAAATTCACACGTGTGTTAGGTAAATTTTAAAGAAAAAAAAAACCAAAACTAATATTGTCTATTCATAAGAATTAGAAGGTGCCAAATACAAGTGTAGGGTGGTGACAAGTTAAAACATCCCCTTTTATTTTGAAAGCGAGGGGAGGAAGAGGAGTTGTAATGAAATTTATTTTTATTATATTGACAACATTAACCTCACTTTTTAATTATAATTCTAAAATATTCTTAATAAATATTATATCTAAATTTGTCACTATTGAAATTTTTTCATATTTTTTTAACGACAACTCCATTATTTTTATTACTATAACTTAACTTTTTTTCTATTTTTTCATATATTTTATTTTACATTTTTATTTATTATTTTGTTACTAATAACTTTTTATTTATAAGTTGTTGTGTTGTATTATATATTCATATATACTTGTAGTATATGTGTTATGTATTATTTAGATTTTAAATTTTTTAAATATTTTAGAAATATTTATGAATATTTTATGGGTAATGCTACAAGATATTTTATAGGTAATGCTACATTGTATCATTGAGACACAAGTTAAAAGATAAATATAAATAAAAAATAATAAAAATTGTGGATTGAATTTAATACAAATTTATAATTAATTATTTTATTATTTGTAAATTTTTTAACCAATATTCCAATGACTCAAGTTAGCATTATGCATATTTTATTTACATTTTAAGATATATCTTAGTATTTAAATTATTAAGTATTTTTTATTTGATTATTTATAAACATAAATTGAGAATTTTTTTTTGTGAATATTATTTTATTTAATACTGAATATTATAATATTTTATGGATAAAAATATAAAATACTTTAAAAATTTTTCTTATTCTCTTATGAACCAAATAGATATTTTTTATTAAAATCTCTTGTTCCTTTTCTCTCATCATCAGTTGAACCAAACCGTATAACTTATATAAAATGGAAAATAATATTTCTTTTTATTTTATTTTATGAAATGTCTTCCTTTTAGAATATATTTAAACTATCATATTTTAAATTTCAAAAAGATAAGATGGGTTTCGTGGCGGTGGCGCCAGCATCGTTCGCCGGCAGCTGCCATAACCTCGCCGTTCCAGATATTGCAATCGCGCTTCCAATATCACTCCACAAGTACGCGTTTGGTTGGCGTTGTGGGAGTTCACACAACAGTAATGCTGCACTCACCGGTGAAATTGCATCGTCATCAATCGACGCAGGAAACGTAACCGCTACTTCTTCTTCTTCCAATAGGTACTTCCACTTTCACTTTCTTTCCACCGCTTACACTTTTTGTTTTTGATTCTGATACTTGCTTTCTCTTTAAGCTACCCAAAGTACGATCGATTGCTTCCATGTCCTAAACACAAATTTCCCCCAAGAATTGAACACTTAGTTGTTTCAGAAGGAGGACCTGTTTTAGAATACATTTGCAAAGCTTTGGATCTTCCTCATTTGTAAGTGCCAAAAATGGATTTAAGACTAAACTCTATTTGGATAAACAACTTATTTTGCAGCTTATAGCATAAGCACTTATGACTAATCTATTTCTTTTACACAAGTTAAAATAAAGTTAAATTGTTTTTCATATAAGCTATTCTCTAAAACTTACGGAAATAAGCAGAAAACAACTTAAGAATACGTCTTAAGAAGTTTTCATAAGCTCTTCCAAATAGTCTTTCAACTTCCTAGTGCTTCTTATGCTCAAGTAGGCTCAAGTTTTATTTTGTAAAGGTTTGTTGCAGATCTGATTCAATTTGGAGCTGTGTATTTCGCTCTTGTATCTCCGGAGCCTCCTCCTACTGCTACTGCAGAGCAAATTAGAATTTTCAAAGAAGTAACAGAACCGTTGGTTCTGCAGAAAAGAGATTCCATCAAGGGAAAAACTATAAGTGAAGCCCAGAAAACTTTCCGTGTTACTGATGTGAATCAGTTTGTTGAACCAGGAAGTTATCTGCGAGTGCACGTGCACCCCAAGCGTTTTCCTAGGTAAAGTAGAATGTTTTTCGGAAGTTGAAATTGCATTTTTGCTCTTATTGAGCCGTGATATGATTATGTTACACTTTAAATCTATTTTTAGATGCTATGAGATTGACTGGAGATCAAGGATCATAGCTCTGGAGGAATCGTATGTAGTTTTGGATAAACCTGCTGGTACTTCAGTATGTAGTCAATCCTACTCTATGAACTGAGAAAAAGTTATTAATCCCCATATAGGATTCTTATAGCATTGTTTTTAAATCTTGGATTGTAGACAACAGTGCTAAGTCCTGTAATTTTGGTATCCAATGGCAATTTCTACACCAAGTGAGTGAAAATTGGTATCTGAATTCAGCTGATTGGTTTTTATCATGCACTCAATTTAACAGGTTTCGTAAATACCAGTCCATGTATTTCAATATCTTTCCCTCTATCCTTCTTGATTAACTGTCACTTCAGCATAATCTTGATTGGATTATACACCCAAGTTTCTGTAATTATCACCTAACTGAGAATAAAATAAACCAAAGTTGCACACCCAGGTTTCTTTAATTATCACCTAACTGAATGAAAACACTGCCATTGTTTTAAATAAAATCCCTATAATTTTATAAAAACTATAATTGAATCTATTAGGATATAAGCTATCTAGCCTAGTATGGAAAACCTGAGCTTTAAATTAAAATCTAAAACGCTTAAACAGCCTAACTTCCAGGGCATATATGACCCACGGTATGGTCTATCAAAAAGTATTGCAAAGTTTACTCAAATACGCCTAATTGAAATAAAAACATCCATTATAATTCCTAATTAGACCCGGGATTCTCTTCATCAACGTCTTGAAAGGCTGTTGCTGTGTCTAACATTATTGTTTCTGTCTTTACAAAGTAGGTGTGATTTATAATGTGTATTCTGATTCCTAATACCAGATTCCTCCATCTTTTGATAGGTGTTGGGCTCCATTAACTTGTAGTCCTTATCAAGCAATAGTGGTTTTGTAAAGCACTGTTAAGTTTAGCTATAGAAACCTCAAGAATGACCGTTTGTTGGCTTGATGCTCACTAGGTGGAAATAATATATGAGCAGTGGCTATGAAGGATGCTTACTAGATTTGAATGAGAAATAGCATTGGATTTCTATTTCAGAGCGTCAGTAATTTAATATTCTCTCTGACATGTGTTGAAATTTATTGATACGTTCACATTGTTAATTGCTCCCTCCGTCCCACAGAATATGTCATTCTAGCCCAAACAATTTGTCCCAATTTATATGCTGTTTTACAATAGGACAGTGCTATATTTCACAAACACGTTGTTCGTGAAATACACGGTGCACGATTTAGGTTCAAAACCGTTCCCAAAACTGTACTTCCGAATTTGGCGGAAGACAGGTTGGGTAATGGTGTTAATAGCCGGCCGATCATGCGTGTTGCTGTCGTGATGCATCCATGATGTTTGATGTCGGGATGTTTATCACTTTCCTTTACAATATCAATAAAGAAATAGTGTTTTTTTTTTCTCTTTTATATCTCTTACTATCTATTACTCTTTTTTTTTTTAACACTTCTAATTTCTCTTTCCCATAACATTTAAATTAAGTCACAATTTCCCGCTCTCGTACAAAATTACTTATATTTCTTAATTTGTGTGTCAAGTGATTGCCTAAAGTTTCTATGCAATGTATTATTTTCTAAATTTGGTTAGGTAGGTGAAACAATCGGCAACATTGAAGAAAGCTGTGCAAATTTTGCAACTCGTGCCTTGGGATTGACAACCCCTTTGATGACTACCCATCAGATTGATAACTGCACAGAAGGCTGGTAATGTGTTTATGTTAAAATAAAAAATTAGTGCTGCCTGTCATTCTGGCTGCGATAGATAATGTAATAGACTGTTATTTACGTGCAGCGTAGTATTGGCTAGGAATAAAGAGTATTGCTCCATCTTCCATTCCAAAATCCGGGTAACTCTTGATGTCATTTCATAGCTTATACTAGAACAATCTTGTTCTGTTCTATTTTTAAAATCACATTGGCACAAGGCATGAGCTGATTGATCTTCGTCATGAAACGGGGCTTAATTATTTGAAAATGTTCATTTCACTTTGCTACAAGTGAATGTGCAAATTAATTTTATTTGATATTATGTTGTTCATATGTACTGAACAGTCAATTATTTTTTTCAGGAGAAAAAAGTGAAGAAGATCTATCTTGCTCTTGCAGCCTCTCCTTTACCAATTGGAATCATTAAGCACTATATGCGTCCTATTAACATGGCTCCTCGACTTGTTTCTGAAGGTAACTACACAAATTGGAATGCTTAGCAAAGATTGTTTGAGAACCTTGAAGTGAAATAGTGAAATAAGTGTACATTCGATGATTATGTATTATAAGCAACTTCTGGGGAGATGCCAACTCCATGCCTCATGGTATTAGTGGCTCAGAAATATTGGGAATATATTGTTAATTAGGAAATAATCTTTGCAGTTATTGTGAATAATTTACATTTATAGAATAGGAAATTAGTCATTATGAATTGTAATTAGTCATTATCAGCTATAATTAGTTATTATGAGTTGTAATTACCGACACTATTATATATAGTATGAAAGGCAATGAGAAAGGCATCAAGCCAAATTTCGTGACATGGTATCAGTAGGTTCGATCAAACCTGGAAAATATTATTATATTGGCTGATCAGCGATACCCCACTGGTTCGCTCTCGTAATCGTGTTCGTTTCGAAATTCTTTCGTTTGAAATCGAAACCTTGCAGCTGTCTGAGATTCTAAATCTTTGGTTGCCGGTTCGTGATTTCGTCTTGGAGATTCTCGTTGTTGCGCTGATATTGCAATCAATTTTTTTTGGTTCTTGGCTGTTGTTGCTTCGTGATTCTGGATCGTCATAATCTTCGGTTTTGCCGCTCCTTCCAAATCGTGGATTTGATCGTGCTGTTGTTCGTTGGTTCGTGGGTATTGTTTCTTGTTGCTGCTCTAGTAACTGTGATTATTTATATTATAGTTATTATTATTATTATTATAATTATTATTATAATAATAATAAAATAATATTAGTGAGATTGTATCTGGTGGTTTAATAATTTAGATGGCTTCCGAAAAAGAAAGAGATAATTTTTGTGTTCGTTTTACCGGCAAGAATTATTCGGCATGGGAATTTCAGTTCAAGATGTATGTTAAAGGAAAGGGATTATGGAGTCACTTAGATGATGTTTCTAAGGCACCAACGGAGAAAACTGCTTTAGATGCGTGGGAAACTAAAGATGCTCAAATTATCACTTGGATTCTAAACAGCATTGATCCTCAGATGATAAATAATTTGCGTTCTTTTTCAACTGCTCAAGAAATGTGGAATTATCTGAAGCGCATTTACAACCAGGACAATTCGGCAAAACGTTTTCAGTTGGAGTTAGACATCGCCAACTACAAACAAGGTGATTTGTCTATTCAAGAATACTATTCTGGTTTTTTAAATCTTTAGGCAGAACACTCTGCTATTATACATGCTAATGTTCCCAAGACCTCTCTTGCGGCTGTTCAAGAGGTCTACAACACAAGTAGGCGAGATCAATTTCTTATGAAGCTTTGTCTAGAATTTGAGGTTGTCAGAGGTGCTTTGCTAAATAGGAATCCTGTTCCTTCTTTGGATACATGTGTTGGTGAACTTCTCAGGGAGGAACAACGTCTTCTTACTCAAGGAACCATGTCTCATGATACTGTCAGTTCTGAGCCTGTGGCAATTGCATATGCTGCTCAAAGTAGAAATAAAGGTCGTGATATGCAACATGTCCAATGTTTTTCTTGCAAACAGTTTGGACATATTGCTCGTAGCTGCAGTAAGAAGTTTTGTAATTATTGCAAACAACAAGGTCATATCATTTCTGACTGTCCCACGCGTCCTCCACGACCAGCACATCATTCGGTGAAGGCATTTCATGCCACTACAGGCCATACAATTGGCTCTTCCACCACTGGTGCATCAGATGGCAATGCTCTACAACCTGAAATGATTCAACACATGGTACTTTCTGCCCTTTCAGCCTTGGATATTAAGGGTAAGTCTTCTCATGTTTCTCGTCCATGGTTTATTGATTCTGGTGCATCCAATCACATGACAGGTTCATCTGAAAACTTGCACAATTTACATTCTTATCATGGTAATCAGAAAATTCAGATTGCTAATGGTAATACCTTGTCTATCACTAACGTTGGGGACATAAACTCGGATTTTCAGAATGTGCTTGTCTCACCTGGACTTGCTTCTAATTTATTGTCTGTTGGTCAATTGGTGGACAATAATTGTAATGTTAATTTTTCTCGATCTGGTTGTCTTGTGCAGGAGCAGGTGTCGGGGAAAGTGATCGCGAAGGGGCCTAAAGTGGGAAGATTGTTTCCAATACAGTTTATTTCTAATCATTTGTCTCTTGCTTGTCATAATGTTTTGAATTCCTATGAGGATTGGCATAGAAAACTAGGTCATCCAAACTCTTCTGTTTTGTCTCATTTATGTAAAAGTGGCTTGTTGGGAAATAAAAATGTTATTCCTGATGCCTCTGTTTCATGTTCTGTTTGCAAATTGGCTAAAAGTAAGACACTTCCTTTTCCGTCTGGTGCTAATCGTGCTTCCACTTGTTTTGAGATGATTCATAGTGATGTATGGGGAATGTCTCCTGTGGTTTCTCATGCTCACTATAAATATTTTGTCACATTTATTGATGATTATAGTCGTTTTACTTGGATATATTTTCTCCGTTCTAAATCCGAAGTGTTTTCTATGTTTAAGAAATATTTGACATATGTTGAAACTCAATTTCAAGCAAGTGTTAAAATTTTTCGATCTGACTCTGGTGGTGAGTACATGTCTCATGAGTTTCAGGAATACCTTCAACAAAAAGGCATCTTGTCTCAACGGTCTTGTCCCAATACCCCTCAACAAAATGGCACGGCAGAACGTAAGAATCGTCATTTGCTTGATGTAACACGCACCTTACTTCTCCAAGCTTCTGTACCATCCCGATTTTGGGTGGAGGCTCTTTCCACGGCTGTCTTCTTGATCAATCGTATTCCTTCTACAGTTATTGATCTTGATTCTCCTTTCTTCCGTCTATTTAAAATTCATCCTGATTATAGTGCTTTACATACTTTTGGGTGTGTGTGTTTTGTTCACTTACCTCCTTTTGAAAGGCATAAGCTTGGAGCACAATCCGTTCAATGTGCATTTATGGGATATAGTAACTCTCATAAGGGATTTGTGTGTTATGATGTCTCTAACCATCGTTTTCGCATTTCTAGAAATGTGACATTTTTTGATAATCAGTTTATGTTTCCCTGTGGTTCTCCTGCCATTAATGATATTGTTACTCTTCCTAAGTTTTCTATTATGCCTCAAGCTATAGAACGTTATAAACCAGGTCATGTATATGTCAGAAAACACAGACAACAGGTTCCCACACCCCTTCCCGATGCTGAACTGCCACCTGATCCTGTACCGGTTGAACCACGACGTTCTGGTCGAATATCCCGCGCACCAGATAGATATTCACCAGACAGGTATGATTCCTCACATACTTCTCTGACTGCCACACTCTCTAGCATATTTATTCCTACTTGTTACTCACAGGCTGTTAAAGATGTGCGATGGATAAAAGCAATGACTGAAGAGCTTCAAGCTCTTCAAGAGAATTTCACATGGGATATCGTCACTTGTCCTCCAAATGTAAAACCTATAGGTTGCAAATGGGTGTATTCTGTGAAACTGAATTCTGATGGGTCCCTCAACCGTTACAAGGCTCGTTTGGTTGCGTTAGGAAACAAGCAAGAATATGGAATTGATTATGATGAGACATTTGCACCGGTTGCCAAAATGACAACTGTCCGCACAATCATGTCTATAGCTGCTTCTAATGGGTGGACTCTTCATCAAATGGATGTGAAGAATGCTTTTCTTCATGGTGACCTGACAGAAGATATTTATATGACTCCACCTCAAGGCTTATTCTCTTCATCTAAAGGCGTGTGTAAGCTCAAACGCTCCTTATATGGTTTGAAACAGGCACCTCGAGCATGGTACGAGAAATTCCGCGCCACTATACTTGGATTCTCCTTTACTCAGAGTCAGTATGATTCATCTTTATTTATTCATAGCACATCTGCGGGTATTGTTCTGCTTCTTTTGTATGTTGATGATATGGTTATTACTGGTTCGGATCATGCTTCCATTCAGCGACTTAAGCAACAGCTACAGGCCTCATTTCATATGAAAGATCTGGGTAATCTACATTATTTTCTTGGTCTTGAAGTTCATTCTACATCCAAGGGCATCTTTCTCCATCAACACAAGTATGCTACAGATTTGATTTCTATGGCCGGTCTTGAATCGGCTAATCCAGTAGATACTCCTCTTGAGGTTAATGTTAAATATCATCGTGATGATGGGGATCTGTTGCCTGATCCCTTATTGTATCGACAACTTGTGGGTAGCCTCAACTACTTGACTATTACTCGCCCTGACATATCTTTTGCTGTTCAACAAGTAAGTCAATTCATGCATTCTCCTCGCCATCTTCACTTGGCTGCAGTTCGTCGTATAATTCGCTACTTAAAAGGAACCTCTCACCGCGGATTATTCTTTTCTGTTGGAACTTCTCTTCAGTTGAGCGCTTATAGTGATGCTGATTGGGCAGGGTGTCCTGATACTCGTCGATCTGTTACTGGTTGGTGTATGTTTCTTGGTTCTTCATTGATCTCTTGGAAAAGTAAAAAGCAAGCAAGAGTTTCTAAATCTTCTACTGAATCAGAGTATCGTGCCATGTCTGCTGCGTGTTCAGAAATACTTTGGCTTCGTGGTCTTTTGGCTGAACTTGGATTTCCCCAAACAGAGTCAACTTCACTTTATGCTGACAATACAAGTGCCATCCAAATTGTTGCAAATCCTGTTTTTCATGAACGCACCAAACATATCGAAGTTGATTGTCATTCAATACGTGACGCCTACGATGATCGAATAATATCACTTCCTCACGTCAGTACGCAGTTGCAGGTTGCAGATATTCTTACCAAGGCTGTTCCACGCCCAAGACATCAGTTTCTTGTTAGCAAATTGATGCTCCTTGACCAGCCGCATCAATTTGAGGGGGGATGTTAATTAGGAAATAATCTTTGCAGTTATTGTGAATAATTTACATTTATAGAATAGGAAATTAGTCATTATGAATTGTAATTAGTCATTATCAGCTATAATTAGTTATTATGAGTTGTAATTACCGACACTATTATATATAGTATGAAAGGCAATGAGAAAGGCATCAAGCCAAATTTCGTGACATATATGTGCACATAGTGAGTTGTTACCTTGTATTGAGAGTCGGCTTTGGCCCAATCTTGTCCTTCCCCTTTGTCAGAACTCAGATTCCCTCTCTTTCCTTTACTTTCCATGCATCTAGTTTCTAATAAGAAGCATGACTTGTGACATTAGCTTTGCCTTTGTATGATATTCAAAATTCCACTCCCTGAAAAGAATAAAAGAAAATTGTGATATCATAAAGTTTTTAACCACATGATTTAGTTAGGTGCATTATCCAAGATAGAAATTAGCTACCTAATCAATTTATATCATTTTTTTTCTTCTTTGATTGAGTAGAATTTGAATAGGTGTTTGGCCAACCTAGTGTACTACAGCAACATGATGATTCAAAAGGCAAAGGCGTTTCCATTGTAAATTTAAATTTTAAAATGTTTGTTTGCTTTGCAAAGTAGCTTAAAGGTTTCCAGATAGTGTTCTGTATTGTTGATTCAACCCCGTAAATTTATTGAGTGCAGATTTTATCAAGGGATGGCATATTTGTCAGCTTGAGGTTTTGGAATGCAGAAAAATTCCCTGGCCGACTATTGTTGTTCAAGATGAATATTGTGTTGAAGACTGTGGGTGGCCTTCTCAAGATTACGGGTACGAGTGCAAAATCAACCTTCTTACTGGTCGAACTCATCAGGTCTGATAGCTGTCTTTTTATGTACTGTTTGTATTTTTATTTTGTTGATTCTTAACACATTACAATAAATATGAATGACCAGTTCAAAAAATAATGAAAACATAGTTGATTGATAATTCTTATCCTTAGGTGAACGGAAAAATTGTTTAGTTCCTACATTGTTTTCAGTGTTTTCATGTCACATGGTTTCATGAGCCCTAGCCGGGTAACCAGCTGCCTTTGCTAGTGAAGCAATCAGTCAGCTGCTACAAATCACCATATTTGTGTTAACTGTCAAGAAGTGCTTCAATTTAAAAATATCTCCCCCTCCATTTGTTTTCTGGAAGTTTATATCTTTTATGGTACCAACCAATTGAACGTTCAGATTCTTTTATATGAATGGTATTGAACGTCCTAACACCCTTTTACATTCACTCCCACCCTCATGTCTTTAGGTCCACATGTTTTGTCCATGATCTCTCTTCTGACCTTGACAAACTTTCGGGTTCATAACTCAAGCATGTCACTTTCTTCCTCGGTTATCATCAGTATCAAAAAGGCTATTCTTGTAACTCTCGTACTCTTCGCGACACCTCATTCCGGTTAATGTTATCTTTTATAAGTCTGTCCCATACTTTGAGTTGATCCTCGTACCTTTTTATCCTTATTCCCTTGTCGTTCCCATCCCGCCTGTTGCTGTCCCTCTTGAGCCATTGGTGTTTATCGCCACTCAACCCTAGGGTGCATCTACTTCATTGTTTGTGTAGGTGATATTGTCATAACTCGTATTTATCGGCAGTGCAAACTCAAGTTGAAACATCTCTCTTTAGTTTTAGACTAAAGACCTTAGCAAGCTTCGCTACTTTTGGATATTGAGGTAGCCCAATCAAGGCAGTAAATACAAAAATAAATATGAGATACTATGATATGATATGATGTACTTATAAATACATATAATATACTTTAAATGGTTAAATTTATAATAAATAAACCAAGAAAATTTCCATATTTCTTTTATCTGGTTATATTTTAGGAAGACAAAACTAGCGCATTTATTGATACAGTGACTTTAATTTTAATGCAGATCCGAGCTCAATTTGCTGCTTGTAAGGCACCAATAATTGGCGATTCTATGTATATGCATGCTGCAATTGCAGAGATGTCTAACCCTGGACTTAATCCATTTGGAAAATACAAGAGAGATTTCATTAGTGAGAGTGAAAAAGAAACAGCTGAAATAAATTGGATCACACAACATGGTAAAGAGCCTAGGGTTGCAATTGGCCTTCAAGCTTGTCAAATTTCATGGGATGATGATGAACACATTTACAAAGCCGGTTTGCCTTGGTGGAGGTGTTAAAAGGCTCGAACAGTTACACTTTGTTTCTTACTCCTTCAAACAGCTAGGTTTCCACTCAAAGGTACAACAGTTTGAAGTAGATTGTATATCACTAATTGAATTTGAATAATCAACATCAATGTAAGCTTTCATAGTTAGACTTCCACCTCTTTTAAACAAGAGTCTTATCTCCGAGGTGCCTTTGAGGTATTTTAGAACACTTTCTACAACTTGCAAGTGTCTCTCTATTGGATCATGCATATATTAGTTGACCACACTAACTACGCATGTCAAATCTAGTCTAGTATATGCCGAGTAAATTAACTTTCTTACAAATCTCTAATACTGACCCTTGTTAATTGTGGTATTTTCTTTCTTAAGGTTTATCCTATGATTTTGCTCAATGGAAATACTTGCTGGTTTAGATTCAAGTTTTACCCTTTTTTGCAAAAGATCAAGCACCTATTTTCTTTGAGAGATAAAATGCCTTGTTTTGAGTAGGCTACTTATGACACTTAGTCGTACAATGTTTTTGCTGCATTTTTTATTAGTATTGTAAATATATTCTTAGTTAACATTACATAAAATAGAGCAAAATCACAACAGAATTCAAAAAGATTGATTCGAGGCAAAATTATCCTAACCACATAAATTCTAAGGTAGTTTACTAAAAAAATTACAATGACAAAGAAACGATAAGAATTGCACACAAAAAACAGAAGAAAAATAAGAGAAGTGGTAAAAGAAAGAAAAAACACGTCGCATATAAAGTAGAGCAGGGCTATATGAGCATGAGAAAAACAAAATCCCTGCATGAAGAAAATGCACCACACCAGAGACAAAGCAACACAATATTTAGCTACTGGGAAAATCACAACACTCACACAAAGTTATAACCTTGTGTTAAATACGATCACATAATGTCTCATAAGCAACATTGCAAAAATCATGGTGCACCTATATGGTAGAGTGGTGCGTTTGTGCATTTCAGTTTTATCTATGTGCAACATTTTGATCATATATAAAATTTTGTAAGTCCGATAAAGGTGAAACAAACGGAAGATGAAAGTTATGTTTTAGGACTAGAACTTTTGTGAAAAAATCAAAGTCTAATTCAAACTCTAAAAAGACATATTGAGTAATATTATAACGCTGTTACAAAGCTGAATTGAAAAAAAATGGACTATTTTTAATGAGAAAAAAACAAGGGTTTCAGTTTCACTTATTTAATGAGAAAAAAACAAGGGTTTTAGTGTCCAATATTTTTCTCATAATTTTGGTTTCAACCAGGTTTGAATTTTATGAGAGAAAAGACATATTACGAGGCATTGAAGCCAAGAAGCCAAGAGAAATAAAAGATTCAATTAAGGATTCATCCCTAATTATTTTTAAGGTTTAACAATAAGTGATCATATCTCTTAAATTAAATCTCTTAGATAAATTTGCCCCCCTAACCTTGTATTTTGTTTAAATCTATTGTATGGAATGATAAACTATTTATAGTTATCCAATAATATTTTATGTTTAATTTTTTTTCTCTTCTACAGAATTGGGTGATCTATCTATATAACTTTTGCTAATGGAATTAAATATTGTTGGGAAGTTGTTTTTATCATTAGACATAGGGTAAAGTTGATTGTGACATAGATATTTTACGTCTGACCAAATCTTCATCGGTTGTGATTTCGTCCAAATCATTGAGGGATTGTAATCAGTTAAGGTAGGTTACACAATGAGTCGACGAAAAATCGTGCGTAAAATATTTGTGATATAAGAAGATTCATTATAACCACATGGAAAAGACAAAGATTCATTATAACTACATGAAAAAGACAAAGATTCATATAGAGCTTAATAGTTTATCTTATTAAAATTCTCAATTGTTAGTTTAGTTTAGTTAATTTTACAATTAACCGCACACTTAATCAAATTAAGCTAAGCGTCCTCCCAATTTTCTTTATGTCGTTTAATCCCGCAAGTATCATCACCTCTAAGATGATCAAATAATGGTAATATTTGTGGATACAACAATAACACTCACCGCTTGTGGAATTTTGTTGATTTAAAAATACTACATAACGAAATAAAACACATGTTTAAGTCCAACGACTACGCAATTTCCAAGAATATTTGAGTTCTCCAAGGTCTTTTATCTCAAACTCTATTGATAACTTTTCTTTGGATAACTGTCTCTTAATCAAATCATCATCTGTAACAAAAATGTCATTAATATAAACAAAAAGTACAATTAGTTTTCTTCCTTGTGAATGTTTGAAGAACAAAGTATGGTCTCACTAACATTACTTATAAGCCAAACATACCATGATCTTTGTGAATCTTTCAAACCAAGACCAATGAGATTCCTTCAATCCATATAAGGCATTCTTCAATCGATACACATTATCGATCAACCCGTAAGACCAAAGCGAGGTGGAATCTTCATATACACCTCCTTCTTTAAGTCTCCATCTAAGGACACATTTTTTACATCAAATTGACGTATTTTCCAACCAGAGTGTGTGACAAGAGATGATGATATCCAAACACTATTAATCTTTGTCACTAGAGCAAATGTCTCCTCATAATCAATGACATAGTCTGAGTATATTTTTCAACTAGTATGACCTTGTAATGATCGAGAATATCATTTGACTTGTGTTTGACAATGTAAATCCACATACAACCAAGTGTTTTCCAAGTGATTTCATTTCATTATCTATATTTTTATTTTTCAATTCCTTTTGAATAAATGATGGAATTCTCGTAGAGTTAAAAACTACAATACAATTATGATACTCTAAAGAAAGTTACTTAGAATAAACAAATTTAAAAATATGAAATCTATATGTATATGTACACGGTCTTTTATCCCTTCTCAAATCAATAAGTAAGACATATGAATGAGTATCAAAAGTATTAAAAACTTGAGAATTACCAATAAAAAATGTTTTGTAGTACTTACCTCCAATTCAGCCGATTCAATTTGTTTTGGAGTGGGCCGTGTTTACTTATTCTCTAATATACCAGAGTTGGTGTTGGAGGCACTGATTCCTCCAAAACAAAATACATTGGACAACCAAGAAAAATATAAGCTTATGTTCAGGTCCAACCATTAGAGAACTAAGAAAACTTACTGTCTTGGTTTCATGAGTGGGGAATAGGGATATGTGTTATAGGGAGGCTAGGACTAAGGGTAAGAAACTTAGAGTCAGACTCTAGGCCATTTATTTTATCCTCCTAAGATCGAGGGCGAATGAAGTATGACATATCTTCATGAAATGTGGCATGATTGAAGACAAAATATTGATTAGAAGTATGATAACATTTTGTACCTTATTTTGTTAGGTGCATAACCCAAAAAAGATACATATGACAACACATGGATTTAACTTGTTACGATATTGTTTATGAAAATGAACAAAAACCAAAGTCAAATACACGAGACATGTAATATAGCAACAAAGAAAAAATATGAGAGCATAAATTGAAAAGGTCTACCATTACCTAAAACTTGTGATAGGACTTGATTAATCAAGAAGACGACAATAAGAACCGCGTCTTTCAATAAGAGTTAGGAATATACATTTGAAATAAGAGAGATCGAGCAACTTTAAATAAATGACAATTTTTTCTTTCTGCAACACCCTTTTATTGAGGGGTATCAACACATGTGAATTCATGGATAATGCCATATTTACTAGTGAAGTTAGAAAATGCATGATTGACATATTCTTTACAATTGTCATATCAAATTCTTTTTATACCCACTACTACGTAAAACCCATTTCACAATGGTTGAAAAAGAGATACCACCACACCTGACCAACCGTTGTGAAGTAGTGGATAGTTTTATGTATAATGTTTTTCACCACAGTCGTGTGACCATGATTATAAGATATGTAATATGATACCTGTAACACCCCACTTTCCCAAATTAAATAAAATATAAATATTAAAATAATAATCAGAGTTTTCACCAAAAAGTGGGATATCACATCTCCAAATTTTATAAAAATACTTTATTCATTCTTTTCAAAATAATAGAGCGGAATTTGTTTCATAAAGTAAAATACATCAAATTCATGATACGACACAAGAAAAAGAAATAAGTTCAACATAGACACAACAAAACACCCAAGTCCCGTGCTACGTATCAGAGCATCCTAGACTCGACTGGCACACCACCATCCAAGCTATCTAAGTACCTGGATTATCTGTACTTCCGGAGAAGCACAGACACAACAACAACAAAGGGGTGAGAAATCATGATCAAAATATAATGGTAATGTAATACATGTAAATAAGGCAGTAAAACACACCAACACATCAACTATTCACCCCAACAACACTATATAACGAACCTACTGTTCAAATTACAATATAACATATTATAATGCAATTATGCAACACAACACCATGCATGCAGTACCGACTCATTGGTTCATTCAATCGTACCTGGATAGATCACTTACGCTCCTCCTGAGACATGATCTATCCCTCACCATTCTCCACAAAGGAGTACGGATGAATCACTTACGCTCCTCCTGAGACATGATTCATCCCACCAAAACACCATGATATGCACACACCAATGCATAACTATCATAATTAGGCACTCAAAGTGCACACGATCCTCCTGATCATATCATCATACATCAATGCATATATGTACAGATATAACATACACCAACACCGTATAGATCAATTAGATAGTAAACAACTTCATACTATAACACCAGATATAACCACATCCCAACACTCGGGAACGCACGATCCTACTGATCACTATATATATACATTAACTAATTGTTCACCAACAATATCAAGGAAAACGAGTACCATCACCAAGTAAACAAGTTCATACTTTATCACCAAGATATAAACACGTCCCACCACTCGGGAATACACGATCCTACTGATCACTACACCATGCTCCGCATGATTCATACACCAACTAATTATCCATTTAAATAATTAGTAACGGAAATCACATACTATCACCGAGTACTCACTCTATAACA